TGACTATTGTTCTCTTCCGAGAAAACTTTTGTATAGCAATTTGCTTCCTTTTCAATGAAGAAACCGATCTTATTGTTGCTGGTACTAATCACAATCGTATCATCATCCTGATACGTTCCTCATGACCAAGTGCAAGAGAAAGAGACATTTGACGTGGCAAGAGAAGGCAAAGACTCGAATACAATCAAAGGCTTTGCCGTTGATTTCATCTTCTTTAAATAAGAGATTTGTGGTATTTTTGATATTCATGCTTTTGTTGTTGAATGTGAGTGGAGAGCGATATGAGCTCGTCGACTATGGCAATGGCTGTTATGAGCTTATCGTGATGAGAAAGAGAGATTGATTCTGAGAGAGAGATATATCTTCTTGTCTTTCATTAATCTATTCAATTGGTGCGTTGTGAGCTCGGATTGAATCTAACGCGATGGGATTCGTTGATGTACCTATATTCACGGGAAACGATGTGAGGTCGTGGATCACTTGGATGGAGAGATACTTTGCTCGATGCGATGATATCACTGAATTGCAGAAACAGGCGATGGCATTTGGTTTCATTGAAGGTGATGCACTAAGGTGGTATTATCAAAGAGAGTTCGAAACCTGGAACGATTTGCGGAAGGCTTTGTTGATGAAGTACGGTGATGATGGTGATCCTGAACGTTATTGGTTGCTTGCCGAACAAGATCGCCTGAGGAAGAGATTGAGATCTTCTGCGATTCAATCTGAATCCGCAAAAGCGATTACAACGCTTGAGTCAATTTGTGTCGCAGAGAGAACTCCAAAGGCAGATTCGATTTTTCCAACTGATTCACGTTCGGCGGCATCTGCTTCAATCGTGGAGGCTGAGTGTGTTGCACAATCTGAGGTATCACATTCTTTCATGGAACCTGGCCTTAGCGATAAGATGTTAGGAGATTTAGAAACAAATATGGTAATTGAGGATCAACAACAAGTCGTATCAGAAGGATTGAGTGACGTCCTTGATGATTTACGTTCTGCTGTCTCTGAGCTTTGTGAGAAATCAACGTGTGTCGACTCCACAACTTATGCCTTCAAGGTGTTCGATAATAGGATTCTTAGGGGACACAGACTTCAACATCAAAGGAAACGAAGGATATCTCCTAAGTCTTGGCAGTTTAAATATAAAAATGGGATGATAAAGCAGAGGAAGCAGAAATTTTTTTCCAGATCATGGAATTTCCAGTTTAAGAATAGCTCAGTGACAAGTGATTTGGTTCCTACGATGTTGATGAATCAATTTTCCTTCCTAGATCGACATGTGTTTCTCAGATTTGAAGAGCAGATTGCAGATTATATGGCTGCCTTGTTGAGGGACAATTTATGCCAAGGGTTATGTGCAAGACAGAAACATCAAAGGAGGAAGAAAAGGATTTCTCTTAAGGATTGGAGTTTTAAATATAAAACTGAGCTGGAGAATTTTCACTCTGTTATGACTGAACAGTGTGTATTGCGATGGAGCAGGAGATTCAACCATTAAATGAACAGGTTAAGGAGCATGAAATTCAAGATGGATACACACTGGCCATGTCGAGTTATTCAGTTCACAAAACAGCTAGTGTGAATGCAGAGTGGGAAGCAGTGAAACGGGTACAGAGAGACAAATGGACTCAACCCTTGGATGGTGAGAGATGTCTGTCTGCAAAATTGCTGGAAGTTGGCCATATATTGTTTGAACGTACCAGTTTTCAGTTTAATAAAGGATGTGGAGTAACAGGTCTGCTGGGAAATGCAAAAGATACTGGAGTTCAACTACCATCTCAAATTCAGCTTGGAAACATATTGCAAAACAGAGCATATGAAATGGCAATTCGTATAAATTTGCTGCTGTTACAAGTTTTGAATCATTTGAAAGAAGTTCAACAGACATCTACAAGCCCTGAAATGGCGTATACATGGTGTAACACTGTAGATATATACAGTCCTTGTAGACAGTATATGGAGACAACTTTTGATACAAACAGAGATTGGGGAGATAGCTGCAGAAGATACATAATGCCGCTTCAGAAAATAGCTTTAACTCTTTGGTGGCCACTTGCCAAGGAATCTTCTTATCTGTGGCACCGATGGCGTCGTAAAGACAACCACAACTGTGCTTTCACAATACTTGCAAGCATAGGTCAGCCTGTATTTAGGTTGAAGTTGACTGCCTCCTCTACGAACCAAGCTGAAATGGATGGGGATGTCAACATAATAGCACAACAAAGGCCTGCGAAATTGAATGACTTGTTGGGATCAATCTCTGAACCTATGGTGGGAAGTAATTTTCAACCTAGTACTGCTGAGAGGATGAGACACACATTTGTGTCACGAATGCTACGTAAAATGAGGATGAAACTTAATCTCAGCGACAAGGGACTAAGGTGCATTGCCAGAAACAATATCTACATCAGATGCTTGCTAATGATACTAAGATAGAATTTGCTCACACACAACGAGATTTACTGCAAACATCTGCAGTAATTCAGCGAAAAGATGTGTAACACAAGTGTTGGAGGTTTCAGGAGGCCTGTCATTATGTTCAACCTGAGTCAAATGGAAACGTTTATGTGTCTGGCATCGTTGGAAGAACAAAATGACAAACTCAATATTGGAGTTGCAGCAGAAGGAAGGCGTCCCAAAACCAGTATTGTGTCTTTCCATCATTTCATTCTCTCCAAGCTTGAGGATAAGCTTTTCAAAAGGGGCGGGTATTGATACGTTCCTCATGACCAAGTGCAAGAGAAAGAGACATTTGACGTGGCAAGAGAAGGCAAAGACTCGAATACAATCAGAGGCTTTGCCGTTGATTTCATCTTCTTTAAATAAGAGATTTGTGGTATTTTTGATATTCATGCTTTTGTTGTTGAATGTGAGTGGAGAACAATATGAGCTCGTCGACTATGGCGATGGCTGTTATGAGGTTATCGTGATGAGGAAGAGAGATTGATTCTGAGAGAGAGATATATCTTCTTGTCTTTCATTGATCTATTCTCTTGTACTCATCATTATCATCAATAGAAGCAGCATTTACAGAGTTCACAAGTCTGAACTCTATCACATCCTTCTCCGTTAGTGTTCCGATTTGTCACAGAGGATCCGCGAAAGATTACATCTTGGGGTTTCGAGATCGGAATTGTCCTTGTAGCGATGAATCAGCCTCGCGTCGTCCTCGTTTTGTCTCCGTCACCGAGGTAATTCCGGTACAATTTGCTCGAAATCTCTCACTTGTCTTTTTTTAGCTAAATCTGAGTTTTTGAGTTTTTTTTTTTTTTTTGTGTGAAGGGAGATGATCGATGGTTACAAATGGCTTCAGATATGATACATGAGGACAAGTGTGACTATGTGGCTTTACTCTTCTATGCATCTTGGTGTCCTTTCTCTGGATCAATTAGACCAAGCTTTGATGTCATCTCTTTGATATATTCATCGGTTCCTCACTTTGCAATTGAAGAATCATCAGTCAAGGCAAGGTGGGTTTTTGTTGAAAAGGCTAAAACTTGTATAATTTTGATCTAGAGGTTACTGGTTTGATGCTTTTTACTTTTTGTTTGTGTGTGTGGTTCAGTACACTTTCCAAGTATGGAGTTCATGGGTTTCCCACTATCATCCTTTTGAATTCAACAATGCGCCTAGCTTACCGTGGATCCAGAACTCTAGACTCTATTGTTACCTTTTACCGTGATATTACTGGTAAATCATTTGTTTCTGCATCTACTAGTGTTCTCTCAGATTCTTCATTTTACTTGGTGTGCATAGAGTTAGTCAAAGAGCTTTTTTTCTTGGCTATCTTTGTATTGGTCCATATGTTTTACAAAGGCAAGGGCCTAAGTTATGAAAGAAGTGAATTAAAGAGCTGTTACATGGTTATCTTGTCTTGGTCACTTATCGGATAGGCATTTGGCTGTATGCTTCAGTCCTGTTTTTATGTTTTACTTGGCGTGCATAGAGTTACTCAGAGAGCTTTAGTTGGCTAAGTTTGTATTGGAATGTTTTATAAAGGCAATGGCACAAGTTATGACAGAGCGAGTTAAAGAGCTGTTACTTTGGCTATCTTTGTCCTTTTTTTTTTTTGAACAACAGGCTATCTTTGTCTTGGTCCATTAAAATAGGCATTTGGCTGTATGCTTCAGTCTTGTCTTGGTTGCTATTGTGCTCCTGTCATTGGTTGTTTGTGTATGATCTTCTATTTTATCAGTTTTAACTTTTTGATCGGCAAAACTAACCAAGAAACATTTGTCATTTGTGGGAATGTAGGCATTGAAACGCTAGATGAAACTTCGGTTGAGAAAAACAGGTTAGTTCCTCAATTCGGTAACCAAAACAGCATAGAACCAGAAAACTGTCCTGTCTCATGGGCAAGAAGATCACCTGATAATTTGTTTCGCCAAGAGACTTATTTGGCTCTTGCCACAGTATTCGTCGTGTTGAGATTGCTACACTTGATTTTCCCCGTATTGGTTACGTTAGCGAAATTCACTTGGGGGCGAATTGCTCGGAACATGAGACCTGGGAACTTCTTGGAGCATGTCGTCGCTATGTATCTCAAAGAACCTTGCATGAGTAGCAATTTGCAAGGAGCCATGAATGCTAGAGCATGGGCTTCAAAATCTTTGGCTACTGTATCAATTGGTGATTCAAGCCTGACATCAAGCAGAAGCGTTTCAACTTCACAGTGAGCCATCAGTAACTATTTTGTTTTTTCTTTTTGGGGATTTTGTCCTTTCTTGTATAATCAATCACAACAGTTCCTCAAACCAACGAGGGGCCTTTTAATTCATAGCTTTACCATTTTGGCAAAGTTTAAAATTACAAATTGTAGCCCAAATACATTTTCTATCAATATTAGAACAAAACTGACCACTAAAACTACTTTAGTGTCTTTCTGCTCAAAAGATTATCTCTTGGATGAGCCAGAATCAATTTCCATCTGCTGCATATCTGCATACTTGAACAGCTTCTCGTTAAACAGAAACTGTGGATCTTTACCGATCAAGACACCATCTTTGTCGTAACCATCCTTCAAAAACACAGTCCAGTTCATCTCAGTGCCAGCCAAGTAAAAAGTAGTGGGCTGCTTCTTGAGCATCTGGTACGTCTGTCTAGTCAAGCTAAACTCGTCTTTGAATTCCACAATGTGATGAATCGAAGCTCTTTTCTCTAACGTCAAGCTCAAGAACTCATGGACGATCCCTACACGGTACTTCTCTGCTTCCAACGTCCATACATCAAGCTTCCAGCCATCCGAATACGGCGAAACCAACGGTAATGTGTTCAATTGATTTAACTTCTTCGTATCTTTCTCTTCCAATTCCAATTCTTTACCATGTTTCAATGGAAACTTAAACGCTCTTTTCGCTTTATCTTCGTCCACCATGAACGTTCTTTCGAGCTCACTCACTGCAAGATTCGGATCCCAATTCACCAATTCAAGTACCCGGTTCCCGTCTTGACCCGTCACGACCCGGAAATAATGCGGGTATTTACCGACCCGGTCTCTGAAATCCTCAGGAATCCCAAAAATCAGTCTCGTGTGATGGATTTTGCTTAATAAGATCCGTTTATCTTTCGTCATCATCAATAGCTTTCTAACACGATTTACTCTATCAACCTCCATCGAATCCATTAAAGCTCTCTCTTCATCTAACAAATCCTCCATGAATTCAGAAAACCCTAACCACATCTTCCCATCGCTGTGTCTATAAGTCTGAAAGATGAGAGGATGTTTAGGGATGTAACGAGTCACCTTACGCCCGCGTGGGAACCCTAGCTCGCGGTAGAGCTTGCCGGCGTCGTCGAGCCGGAGAATCCGATCAGGTTGCTTCGTGATGAATTCTTTGGATCGGGTTAGGAATCGGAAATGTGCGTCGCGACTGACGAGGGATTCGAAATGTGAGATTCGGGTCGAATCGTGCTGAACGGGTTTGGTTCTGGCGGATTCTGGTTTTTTTCGCTTCTTTTTGAATTTATCTGGCGTTTTGGTGATGAGGAATGAGGTGGAGAAAGGTTGAGTTGGGAGATTAGGGTTTGGATTTCGGGAAGAAGATGAGGAGATTTTGGGAAATGTTTCAAGTATTGGATTATTAGATCTTAGGGTTCTTGTAAAGAGACGGAGCCAAGCCATGTCTCTGAATTTAGAAACACTGAATATCGCAAAAATAACTAGGAGCTGAGAGCATCAGTAATCACTAATGGTGAACCCCTCATGAAGTTTACCCTAAATTTTTTATTATTAAAATTTTGAGAAGAAAGAAAAAGTAAGAAAAGAGAAAAAGTCGAAGAAGAGAAGAAAGAAGAAAGAGATAGAGAGAGAAAAAGAGAAAAGATGGAGAAAATGTTTCTTTTTCCAAACCCAACCAATCAAATTTGGGCACGTATGAACCCTCTTAAATCTCTCTCTAAAAACTTTAAATCTCTGAATATTGAGTTTTATTCATTTATTTTTAATAAAAAAACTCATAAATCCCATAGATGGTCTCATTACCGAGTATAATGGAAGCTTTACACCCAAGCGCCAAACCAGTCCGAAGATTCAACGATCCGAATATGAACCCGAATATATTTTTTTAATTTTTTTATCAGCCAACGGTTATATTAACTAAAAAAAATATTACAAAGTTCAGCACATACATCAAAGCATTCACGATATAGTGTCTTTTTTCTTATACATTCTAGCATTCTTAGCCAAATGATCTGCATCAATGTTCACTTTCCTATTAATCTGCTTGAACTTGTATGTAGCTTTCGCTATCTTGAGAATGTCCTCTGTGTAGCCTTGGATTTGCTGATTCATTTGAGGGATATGACTTCTTTGAAGGTTAGCTTTCTCAAGATATCCATAGGGTAAGGATGAGTCTCCACAAAAGACGACCTCCTCATAGCCTAATTTCTTAATATTTGTGATTGCTTCCAATAAGGCTATAGCTTCTGTTTCTAAAGCAGAATTGGTGGCCTCTATAGATGTGGATCCCTTCAGAATATGTTTCCCTTGTGAGTCATATAATGTTCACCCAATACCAGCTACTGATTTGTGATATATCCAAGAAGCATCCGTACAACAACACAAATTTGATGTATGAGCTACTACCTCTTGGAACGTTGACGGAATTTTATTTGGCTGGTTGCCGTGTTGAATGGCTGGGAGATTGAAAGCTGCTTGAGCTTCCTTCCATAACTTATGGTCGATGATAGTTTGATGGATTATGTGTGGAATTGCCCACTTTTTATTGTTGAAAATGAGGTCATTCCTCGCCTTCCAGATTCACCATCCAATAAGAGGAAATATGTCTATTTTTCTTTGCAATAACACTTGGAGATTATCATGAAAAGCTTGGTCAATGTTTACCTGTGTGCTTATTTCACCAACTGGAGATAATTCTCATATTTCCTTAGTAACACGGCATTGAAATAAGAGATGATTGACGGACTCATTTTCTTCTCCACACAATATGCATTCTCTTAGAACCTTAAGTTGAGGTCTTCCTAGTGCATCTGCAGTGGGAAGAGCATTATGAAGAGTTTTCCACCAGAAATGTTTGATTTTTCGGTGGGGTATTAAGCCTCCAAATATGATTACTTAATTTATTCATAATAATGGCAGCTTCATCATTATTCAAACAAGGAAATTTGGTCAGATGATGATAACCTGATTTGATAGTGTATTGTCCATCCTTGGTGTATATCCATTTTGGTATGTACGGAACTGGCGTTCTGTGTAGTCTGATCCTTTTTTTAATTGTGATGTCTTTAGGATGAATAATCTCTTGTAATTTCCTATAATCACATGCGGTTTCATCTGGCATTATTAAACCTGAAACCGTTAATTCAACATCTGTAATAAGACCCATAGCTTTTGCTGACCGTGGAGGACAGTCTAACCAGTTATCACGCCAGACCTTAACGGTTTTCCCATTTCCTATTTTCCAAAGTAAACCCTGTTTTAGAAGTTGAGTACCTTCGTAAATGCTTCTCCATGCATGACTGGGTTTGTGGCCTAAAGTTGCCTCTATTAGAGATGTCTTACTGTAGTATTTTGCTTTGAGGACTTTATATCATTTAAATCTCCAAGAACAAGTCTTGGTCTGTTGTTTGTAGTAACCCTCTTGAATCCATTCAATCATGCGATTCCATTGGAGTTGTCGAGACTTTCTGGTTGGATTACCATAGATGTATGTGAGACAAAAAGTTGTTGGCCCTTCCGTAAGCAAAATATGCCGCCAAAAGATAGCTAATCCTCCGTTTAAGCCATCATGAGTTACCAACATTTGATGTGGAAAGTGAAGGTCTTCGCCGAGTTGCTGTACAAAGCTATCTTTATTCTTAGTTTCTAAAAGGAACAGGATATCAAACTTATATGTACTATTGATATCCTTTAGATATGGAATTGTCAAAGCGTTCCTCAAACCTTGAAAATTCCACTACATGATCTTCATTCTAGAAGTGGTGGCTTCGAGGTTTCCACCTCCCCTTTATCCTGGTCAGTAAAAGCTATTTCAGTTTTTGTCCTGTTAGTTGAAGTCTCGCCATCTGCATCTGTAGATATAGCTTTCCTCTTAATCCTTTTTCTGGAGAAGCCTTAGAAGTGGAGCCAATCTCCCTTATAGTGATAGGCTGATCCATTTGGGGAATACTAGTATCCGGGTATAGGTATTGCTGAACATATTCCCCAAGTGATCCCGAGATCATAAATTTCGCAGAGAGCTCTCCATTAAAGTTTGAATCAATATTCACTACAAAAAAAACATCATTTTACGACGGCTAAAATGGTCGTTATTTCGTCTTAATAGGGTTATTACGACGAACTACCGACGATTACGAAATCGTCGTAAAGTCATCGTCGTAATAGACAAATCGTCGTATAATATACGACGGTTTCGTTTCGTCGTAACATCGAGGGAAACAAAATCGTCGTAAATGCGTCGTACAGTTTACGACGATTTTACATCGAAGTGCGTCAACTTGGTCTTCGCCTGGACTGTCGTTAAGTGGTCGTTAATGGTCGACGTAAGATCGTTGTAAAATGTACGACGCAAAAATCGTCGTAAATCAATCGTAAAGTATTTAATCATTTCATCGTAAAATCGTCGTAAAGCACGGACGTATAATCGTCGTATTTGTGGTCGTACATTTTGGTCGTAAATTCGTCGTAATAGTTACGACGAATGTACGACGGTTTTAAATAAAGATATTACGACGATTATACGACGTTTAATATAATTAAAAATTTTCAAAAAAATTAATTCAAATTAAAATTTAAATTAAAAAAAAATAATTTACAATTTATAATTTATTAAAATTTAAAATTAAAATTAATTATAAATTACAAAAAAACCCTACAGCTCTAAATCTAAATCTATATCTATATCGTCGATCCCGTCACCGACCTGCTCTCCATCGTCCTAGACGTGTTCCTTGCCGGGTCTTCGGTTTGATGCTTTCGCCGGCGCCTGATCTCCGGCTCTAGGAGGCTCAACCCCGAGAGATCGGAACATCTCCTCGTCCGTCTGCACCGGCGGTTGCGTCCTAGTGACCCGGCAGCAGACGATCCGACAACTCCATCAGCCCGCAGCTTGTCCAACTGCGCCATGAGCACCGGGTTGTCGGCTCCCATGATCTCGAAGAGACCGTAGAGCTGGTCGATCCTCGTCTCGTAACGGATCCGCATCTGATCGATCTCCTGGCAGATAACCGGATCCGGGACCCGGACGTGACCAGTCGCCGTAGCTCTCGGGGTATCACGGATGGACCCCATCCCTAATACCCGTCCCTTTTTCTTTGGGGCAACCTAAAAATATTTAAAAACATTATGGTTAGAAATTCAATTTAAAACTAAAGTTACATTAATTAAATATAGTAATTAAATTTACCTCTTCGAAAATCTGGTCCATCTCCGCTACCATCAGCGCCGGGGTCGATTGGACCGAGCTACCTCCGGGAGACGTTTGACGCGCCTGCTGAGTCAGCTGTGTCGCTCCTCGGACGCCGCACAGCTGGCGTTGTAGATCTCCTCCGCCCGAGGATCCGTGAATTTGCCGTTCCGCTTCTTATGCGTCTCGGCGAAAACCTTTGTCATCGGAGGTATTTCTCCTCCGTTATCTTCGACCTACAAAATCAAAATGAAAAAATTATGATTGACAAATAAGGGTTAATTATTTGAAAACAAAAAAATCAGTAATTTTAATTTACTTACCATCATAAGCCGTCTTTCGGCAAAAGGAATCTGGCTGGAAGTGTGCGGAACGTTCTTCCGATTTCCCGCATCGTCAGTAGCGTTCCTGAAAAATATTTTCATTAGAATATATTATAAGAATTAATGAAAACAAATAATGTAAATATTAATAGAAGTAACTACTTACCTAGATCCAGAACACTTGGCGGCCGTAGTCTGGTGTGCGGATCCAACAAGTACTGGACAAGGCCCCGCCAGACGGAATTGGCCATAGGCGCCGGCTTGGCCTTGTCGCCGTCAACCTCCCACTTCTGTTTCCAGTCGGAAACGGTGTTGTTGAGGCGGAATTTGACCTTCTCCTTGAAGGCCGTCTCCACACGTCCGTGTGCGGATGTTTCCCAATGCCAGTTTTGCTTAGAAAAAAAAAGTTAGTAATTATTTTAAAAAGTTAAAATTAAAAATTAAAATTAAACGAAATTGTAAATTACTTACCGCAAAACACTTGAACCAAGTGTCAAGTGTGGCCTGATCCAACTTCTTCCAGCTGGTATGGGGTTGTATGAAAAACCCATTGATGATATCCGCAACGTTACGACCGACTGCATTGTCGGTCGTAAACCTAGACAAATAGAAAGAGAAAAGTAAATTAATTTCAAATATATAAGAATAAATATTAATTAATTTAAAAATATCGTAGGAAAAAATTTACGTACCAAAA